GCCGAGCAGGGAGCCCGATGTGGGACTCGATCCCGGGACTCCAGGATCATGACCTGAGCCGAAGGCAGTTGCCCAACCAACTGAGCCACCCAGGCGTCCCTATTCTACTTCAGTGTTTTAAACCACTGGCCATGACTCAGGGAAGCGATGCATCATAGAAACCACAGCTTTAAGCCAATGTGGGTCAGATGCCAGGAGGTGGAGTCTGGAGGGGATCGGGAGGGAAGGGGGTCCAGGTCCTCAACCTTTACCTCCCACATTCGATAAAGGACTCCCCTCTTCTACCCACCCCTCATCATCGAGGCGTTGGACAAATAAGAAACCAATGAGGTGGCCTGAGGCGTGCTCTCCGTAGAGAAAGGCCATAGCAGAGAGAAGCCTGGATGCACGTGTCCAGGATGAAGGGAGCTCTGGGACAGGCAGTCCGCAGGACGGGACAGGACTCGCGAGCCGGGAAGAGTCGGGAAGGCACACTCTAGTGCAGATAGCCTCTAGTCTTATCTGTAGGAGCCCCAAGGTTTGTCATAAATACCTTCTGCTTGTGGTCCCTACCTATGTCACCCCCACTCATTGTGTATGGATATATGTACACATATATACAGGGATGATAGTACGTATGTATAATATTTTTCTGATTATAGTACATGATGTGGGTTCAGTTTTCAGAAAACATGGTACAATATAAAGGGTGAAGTGACAATCATTCATAGCCCTGCTGCACAGAGAAAATGACTTGTATGGTCCTAGACTTGCTCTGCTTATATGATCACGCACACACACACTTTTTGTTTTGTTTTTCTTTGTTTTGACAAAAAATACAACCTGCCAAACATACTATTTTATGACTTTCCCTTAACAGTATGTTACGGACTTTTGTCCATATCAAGACATACAGATCTCGGTCATTTTTGTAGCATCTCAGAATCCTATCATAGGGATGTACCATGATTTACCTCATTTTTCCAATGATAGACAGTTAGGTATTTACCCAGTTTTTTTTGCTATTAAAACAATCCTGGAATACACACGCTTAAACTTACCATTTGCGTACTTTTGCGAGTATTTTGTTTCATTATTATTTATGAGGTTGATTCCTGGCGGTCAAATTGTTGATCAGATGTTTTGTGCATCTGAAATATTGATGTGTATGGCCAAAGCACTCCTCAAAATGGTTGAACGTTTACATCAAAGGTGATGCTGGTGTTTATTTTCCCACATCCTTACTCTCACAGAGTATTATCTACTTTCATTATTTTTGCCAGTCTGATTGAGGCACACACAGTGTTATATCATTGTTCTTATGATTTGTATTTCTTTGGTCTTTCCTAAGGTTGAGTATGTTCTTTGCGTTTATTGGCCTCTTACATTTCCCCCTATAAACTGCCTGTTCATATACACTTGGCCCATTTTTACTGTTTCTGATTGATTTGTTTGAGTCCTTTATAAATTAAAGGCATTAGCTCTTTGTGGAGAACTATGCAAATATTTCCCCGAGTTCGTCATTTGTCTTATGATAAGTTTTTTAGGCAGAAGTGTTTCATCTTTATTTAATTGAATCTATCCATTTTTTTCTTTTTGGCATTTTGGTTTCATGATTCACACCTAAAGCTTATCAAAGATTATAAAAGTTGGGGCGCCTGGGCGGCTCAGTCGGTTAAGCGACCGACGGTCATGATCTCAGGGTCATGAGATCGAGCCCCCTCCCTCTCCCTCTGCCCCTCCCCCCTGCTCTCGCACTCTCTCTCAAATAAATAAATAAATCTTTAAAAAAATTGTTAAGGTAAAAATGCACCTATGTTTGCTCTTACTATTTTCAATGTGGGGTGGTTTTTTTTCTGCATTTAGATCTCTGGTGCATCTGGAATTAATTAGGGTGTAAGAAAAAAACCCTTTAGTGATTATTATGCTTCTCCAGAGGGCAGTTGTTGTCCACTCTTTTTTGACTTGTATTCAGGACAACAGACTTTTTTTTTTTAACGATAGCTATTTATTGTGAAGTTAAATGACTTCGCAGTAAAAAAACTAATGAATTAAAGTATATCACTCTAAATCCACTTTTGGCATTTTTAAATGTCCCATTTGATTTTGCAGAGTTGGCAGTCTGCGTGTGCACTCTAACACTCTGCAATTTGTTTTGCAGAAGCAAAGGTTTGTCCCTACTTCTCTTACCATCTCCTGAAGATCCTGTCCCCTGGCACCCAACCCATCCTTTATTAAAGCAGCATTTTTCAAACTGCATGAGTCATGAAATCAATTTAGTCAGTCAAGGCCAGCATTAAACAACAATAGAATAGACTATAAATCCCTTTTGGGTGGGGGCATACCGTTATTTAAATGTACATTTCCATGAAGTGGCAGAGTCTACATCATTGTCAGTTTTGAAAGCTATGGAATATTTATACTGAAACGCCATAGTTCCGTGAAATGGTGTGAGAGGAGCCTAGACAATTCTTAGTGGGCAGGGGCGAGAGTCTGTTTCTAATGCTCTAATTATTTTTGAGGTCATTTGAAGAAGATTCTGCAGATGAGATCTAGAGAAGGTGGTTTCGCCTTTGGGAAGCTCAAGGGAGGATTGCAGTTTAGAAGGCTGAAGATTCGAGAATGAGTGAGAAGGGAGAAGTGAGAAGCTATCAGAGCAACTTAGGAGAAGGTTTTGGGGAGGAAAGATTGAATTTTTTTAGTTAATAAGGAAGCACAGTGGTTGGCAACAAAAAAGCAAAAAAGGGAGGACGTAAGTGCCTCTTCCCCTCACCCAGGTTTAAACCCGAGTCCAACCAGCGTGTCCTCTTCTTTTAGAATCCTTCTCTAATCCCAAATTCCACGTCAGTCCCGAAGGAGTGATCACAGAAGGAGATCAGCTTCACATTAGGTGCACCATTCAAGTGACGCATCTGGTCCAAGCATTTCCAGAAATCATAATCCAGAAGGACAAGGCGATTGTAGCGTACAAGAGCCATGGCAACGAGGCCTCCTACTCAGTGATGGCCATGGTGGAGCACAACGGCAACTACACGTGCAAAGTGGAAGCCAGCCGGATATCCAAGGTCAGCAGCATCGTGGTCAACATAACAGGTAAGGCTGCTGCTGGAGGCTGTGGGAATATGGCGGGCTCGAGCAGCCACCATGCTGGAATCCAGAATGGGCAATGAGGGCCGAAACTTCTGCTCCTGCTTGTTTGTCTGATGTGCTCAGGTGGGGGTGTGGTGCTCAAGGGGGGAAGTCAGTAAGCAGTTAGCTGTGGTGGTTGAGTGTGCAAGTTCTGGCATCAAATCCCAACACTGTCACACGCTACTTTGGCGACCTTAGGCGAGTTACTGAGCTGCTCTGTGGTACAACTCTATGAGATGGGGGAAAATGACAGCACTCAACCTGTAGGACTGTTAAAATGACTAAGTGACATGACTCTGCTATAAAGAGCCTCATACAGAAGAAGCACTCTGTGAATGTTAGCTAGTATGTCTGTTATTACACTACATTTATCTTTCCTCTGTGCCAAGCACTAAGCTAAATCCCAGACACAGGTCCTAAGACAGGGTCAGGAGTGAGAAAGCATTAATAAATTCAAAAACAATAGTAACAATTCTTTTTTGTTGAACACTGTTTGGTTTACCTACATTTTCAGTTCATGCTTGTAACAATGCTATGAGATAGGTATCATGATTCTGCATTTATGGATATGGAAATTGAGGCTGAGATGTTAGGTCACTCACCCAGCGATCACAGGGTTACCAGATGACAGAACAAGAATCATTCCCAGGCCCATTTGACTTCCAAACCCATGCATTTAAAAGTTCTATTGGACTCTTTTCCCCCTTTCCTGGATTTACATCTCTCCATAGTACCTATTGCCAAAAGAAATATACTCTACCTCTTCCTGTTTCTTTTATGTACCCAGGCACTAGAATGTAAGCCAATGAGAACAGGGACATTACCTATTTTATTCAGTGCTATGTCCTTAAACACCTAGAATAGTGCCCGGCACATAGTAGGACTTCAATACATATTTGTTGGATGAATGAATGAACATTGGATGACAGGGTTTCTGAGGGTAGAGAGAGTCAGCACTTCTTGGTTGCCAAATGGAGATGTTCATTCATTCCTTCATTTACTGAAAGCCTTCTAAGTGTCAAGCACTGAGTGTAGAGTCACAGGGACAATCCACAGTATCACAGGTAGGCTGCCAACTTCCCAACTGGGTGATTGGCAAATGTGTTGGATCCTGCCAGTCTTCAGTGTGTACTAGCAATTTATCTTTGATAATGACAAATATCTTGATGGTACATGATGTTTTTCACTGATAAGACATATTATCTCGTTAGAGAAAAGTATTCAATTCAACATACATTGAGTACCTTCTGTATGCTGGGCAACTTATTGGGGATAGATAGCTGTCTAAGGTCAGTCTTTGCCCTTGAAGAATTCACAGACGTAAATAGACCATTCAAATGCAATGTCATGAACAAGTACAATAAAGGGATGGGCATACTGCTGTGAGAGCAACAGGGACCAAGTGGTGAACCAACTGACTCTTGCATCAGTCAGAGCAGCATCCTTACCCATCAGGCCAGGCTACTTGAGGAAAGCATAAAGCATCATTGGTCCCTAAGATACTACTGTTGTGTTAATTAGACACCCAGAAGTCTGTATCATGTCGGGTATGCAAGTCATTCAGTAGATCAGTCTCCCCGGCCCAAGACAGCAAAGTGTTAGACTCAGCCTGCCCTTCCCATCCCTTCAGCCTGAGTGCTCTGTGGTCCTGAGCTCTGCCCTTTCCACATGGAGCTAACTGAGCCACACCAGGCTGGCAGGCAAGCATCCTCATGTTCAAGTTCTACCAGGCCTTTGGAAATGTTTCCAGGCCCACTTAAACATCTGGTTATCCACACCCCTGTTGCTATCAAGCCTCACTGTCAGTGGATATAGTGACGTCAGCAGCTCACGATAATTTTATGAACATGAAAATCATTGAATTAGTCATTTGTCTTCGGATAGAAAAGACACCTTCCCCCCCCCCCGCCTGCCCCCCACTGTCCACCTTTTCAGATCTAATCTGTCGCCAGGGGTTGCCAGGTCTCTCAATTCTGTCCTGTCTTCTTATCTCTGTAATCACATCCTAACACTGGCCCTCACACTAGGATTATCTATTGCAGGGGTGTCCTGGAGCATCTCTGTTCCGGTTCATTCTTCAACCAGCTATAGGAGAAGCCCTTCTAATATGGCCCCTACTTGACATCACTATTCATGGGCTTAAATTCCTGCATGGTCATGATCCTTCACTTTGACCCCATCCCCTTCCCAACATCCCTCCCACTCTGCCTACATCACCCTTTCCCCTTGGCCACTGAAAAACTTCTGCTGTCCTTAAAGACCAAGCCCCAGATCTCCCTCCAGACTCCCCCAGGAGAGTCCCATGGTCACACCTCAGTTCCCACCACACTCTATTCCTGTCTTTATGTCAGCAGTCCCTGCAAAGATCTACCACCACCACTCTGAGTAAGCTCTCAAAAGACCAAGTCTGGGGTTCAACTCACCTTACATCGTTGATACTTAAAACAGAGCCTGGCACATTGTAGGAGCTCAATAAATATTCATTCAATGAGCAAGTAAAAGACTAATCCTTATTAGTCTACATGATGGTCCCGCCAGTCTGTTACATTATGTCCTTTAGAAATGAACTATTGTTCCCTAATGTTTCATTCCTAATTCTAAACCATCTTGCACCTACTTCTGCAGGATGGTTTCTACTTTTTACATTTTTGTTTACATATTTTTAAACAGAGTTGTTTCTTTGGGATTCTTGCTGAGTCATTTTTTCACATTTTTTGGTATACACCCAATGAAATTGTAAGGTATTTTAGGATGTCTCTCTTTGGTTCCTTTCCCCACTCCTAAGCTAGAGCTTTTGATCATGCTCTGAAAACAGGTAAGTCAATGCTTATATGGAAGGAAGGATGGGATGTGTCTTAATAAAATATAAATTAATTATTGGGCTACCCCCTTACTTGAGGTTTTATTTGATTTTATTGAGGAAACTAGGAAAGCACTGGGGACTGATTATGATGGAAATGACTTCCATAGCTATGTAATATCAATGACAATGACAGTGTTGATTGGTGTCCCCAAACCTGTTAAATTTAGAACCAAAGGTAGATTTTGATTCCCTGACTCCTGGCTGCATTCTCAAACCTGTAGTCCAAGAAGCTTTCCTAAGAGGAACTTTGGGTCTCTGTTCTTTTCTCAATATGCAGATAGTCTCAAAAATTACTGACTCCTGGGGTGCCTGGGTGGCTCAGTTGGTTGAGTGTCTGCCTTTGGTTTGGGTTGTGATCTCAGGATCCTGGGATTGAGCCCCATGTTGGGCTCCCTGCTCAGTGGGGAGTCTGCTTCTCCCTCCCCCCAACCGCCCCCATGCTTGCTTGCATGTGTGCTCTCTCTCTCTCTCTCTCTCAAATAAATAAATAAAAATAAATTTTTAAAAATTACTGAGTCCTGGGGCGCCTGGGTGGCTCAGTTGGTTAAGCGACTGCCTTCGGCTCAGGTCGTGATCCTGGAGTCCCGGGATCGAGTCCCGCATCGGGCTCCCTGCTC